GACAATCTAAGACGAGAACTTTGAGCTTTGCTTCTAAAATATAAATAAATAGTTTTAGCTACACTATATAATTAAACAAATATGGATAAAATCTGGTACATAGAACCTTATTTACCATAAACTTGGAATAGCAACAATTCAGCTTTATGAATATCATTACAGAGATTCTTCCAATCAGATAAATATATGTATTTCTTCTCAATAAGTTCATCAAGCATTTTATTTTTTGAATCATGTCCAAAGCGTATTAATTTATATTTATCATTATACACCTTTTTAGTAGTGCATGTAACTTGAAAGGGTGACCCAGATGCTTCAGTAAATACAATTTCATGAAGATTTTTTGCAATCATCATCTCAATCCAGATATCTGCTTTCTTTGCTTGTGAAGACGTGAGAAATGGTGCCATTATCCGATCAAACTGTTCACGAGTTTCCTTCTCAAATTTATATTTTCACTCTTCCGATACTTTGATGCACTTGATGTACTTTCTCCCCTAAATTAAAGTTCGAACACAAAAAAACACAGAAACAATATAATTAGATTATTTAAATAATTGTAATAATTGCACATTCTCACATACCAGCATAACACGCATTTATCTAGACTTAACGTCAAAATATCAAATAATGGGTGTAATACAAAATGCTCCCAGGTACCTTCATTAAACGTAGTCATGAAATCTTTATTAAAATTATTGCTACTCTACATCTCAAATCTGTAAGAAATTTACTGATTATAGAAATTAGAATACAAAACATATAATATTCATTTTTATTTATTTATTAACTTATAGTTTGCAGCATGCTTTCCAAAGGAAATACTACTCCATTAATAAAGAGCTTGTATCACTAACTTGTGGAAATAATTTTTCGCACATTTGTTGGTTTTCATACAAGTAAACTAGGTATTTTTCTGAAGTAGGATCCATGTCTTGATGGAATTTTATTGGTGAAGCTGTTATTGCTATTAGTGCTTGCTCATCAAATGCATTTTTAATTTCTTTGGGCAGATTTGAAAAATCAATCACATATAATAATAATGGATTATTATATTCTAGATTTATTATTATTTCCTCAGTAATACTGCTACAAATTGTTTTGACAACATCAACTTCTATATTATTTTTATCTGTGAATATCCATTCTGAGGCATCTTTTTGATCCTATAATGACTTAATATTAAACCAAAATTTGATACTATTATAGTCAATAATAAAAAGCACTAACACTGATGGCCTTTATATTAGTAATAAATCTTTTTCAGAGAGATTTATCAAAGCTTGTCATCGGTATCAGCTTATTTTCCAGGTTTTCAATATATTTCAAAGTACAAGACACAAGCTTCTTATCACCATTTTTTATCATATTTATATAAGCTATGCATGCATTTCTGTTGCCCTTTTTTCTATCTGTCTTGAATTCAATATAAAGAAAATTATTAATTATTTGTATAAAATATGATTAAATTGAAGAAATAAAAATATCCTCAGAAACACATATTCTAAAAGAGAGACATATCAAATCACAAAGTGTGAGTCAAAACCACCCACATGTAAACGTTAATTTTAATGAATTCCGCAGATGAATTTGGCAGAACGTTTGCCATCAACCAAAATGAGATTAAGTAGGAGCAACTTAGTATAAGAAAAAAGTTTCTTGCTTCCGCTTGTAAATCACTTCACCAATGTTAATTTGATTGGTTTGATATTTACTCGTTATTGATATTATAAAAATTATTAAAGTAAAAAGTAAAAATAACCTTACGAGTTTCGTCAAACTCTTTTTGATATGGTATCCAGCACGCATCTTTTCGTAGTTTGTCAATCCTGAGAAAGAAATTATTTGTGCTTTGGTCGTTAAAGTCTGATTCTATTCCTTGGGCGAGGAGCCATGCAAAAAATTCAACTGCGAAAACTCTTCTTGGATCATAAATTCCAAAGAACTTGTTATATATATCTTCTGAATCACCATCCTCAACCCTAACATCATTCATTTTAGTTTTCTTAGCAAGATGACTAAGTTTTACCCTTTTCTTTAGTCTGTTCATAGTAAGGTATTTAATGTTAGTATTTAACATAAATAGAAACAATTTCACACATATATTTCTTTATATAGCAAATACCGATATTTAAGTAATTCGGGGTAATAAAACAAGATTTTAGGATCTGAAACAGGAAGTGAATATATCAAAAATGTGAGATGCAACTGGGTGTGAGAATTGATAATCAAAATATTTTAAATTTAATCATGTGTCATGTGATTATAAGTCCTGTGTTATGTCATAGGCCAACTTTCGTCTGATTGGCCGATGTAAATCAATTGCCCGGATAACTTATTTATACACTTTAAGTACTTTTTGTGAACGCAACGTTTCACTAACAAAAAAATCGCTATAAAAAAATTCTAGCTCTAAACGAACGTAGATATTCACTGTTAAAATTAATCCAAAATAATCCACCTCTCCAAGAACTTCACTTAGGAGTGAATATTTTTACTAAATACTGCTAGTACTCTTGTTATATTAACTATATGTAAGTTTTAAATGCCAAAAACAGTTGATAAAAAAACAGTTGGTAGTTCTGGTGAAGTGTTTAATAAGCCAATTTAATTATATATTCAATATGATAAAACTACACCTTTATATTTTCGAAAGATGGTTTATTCTTTTTTACAAAAGTTTTATTTCAAAAAATATATATATTCAATACGATAAAATTACACCTTTATATTTTCAGAAAATGGTTCATTCTTTTTAAAAAAGTTTTATTTCAAACGGAACAAATTGATTTGTAAATTGAGACAATATAACAGAGTTTTGGGTACCTCCACCTATCAATAAAATTTTATTTCCAATCACTGTGCAATTAATTTCAGATAGTGATTTTTTATCCTCTCCACTTTCATGTCCCAAAGCAAAGGTATCGCCAAAGCCCCACATATAAACTTTATTTTCTTCATTGATTGCCAAAGAATGATAATCACTAACTGCAATATTCTAACAATTAACAAGCTTTGTAACATGAGTAGGCGTAGATACTCTATCTGTTGATAACTCACTGATACCTAGTTGCCCATAATCAGCATGGCCGAAACTATATAAGTTATCATTTTCTAGCAGTGCTAATGAATAGTGTATTCCTGCAGCGATTTGGTTTACACTGGCCAAATTTTGGAAGAATCCTACTTTCGTAGGATGTAAAATATAAGAATCAGATGATTCAATACCACACTGGCCATAGTTATTTAATCTTCAAGCATAAGTAATATTTTCATCATCAACTGCAAAATTATGATATGCTCCAGCAAAAATCTTTTTAATTTGTCTGATGGATAGTAGTTTATAAGGGATTAATCTATTCTATTTATGATGCTTCAAAACTCTTCTTCCAAGTTGATTAGCATCTCCATTTCCAAATGTATATAAAAAACCTTCAGTAGTTAATAATAAAATGTGATTTTCACCCACAGCTATATTCACAATCTTGAATTTAGTATCGTACTTCATAAAAATTTTTGTTCAAGTTTGTCTTTATTCTTTGCAAAAATTCCTAGTACCCCATTCTTATCCTAGAATAAACAAAATTTTTTTGTTAAATAATTGCTATTCAAAAATTATTAATAAATCAATAACTTTTCATACCTTAAATGTACCACTAATGTACAACTGACCATCTCTTGATAAAGCTAATGTGATGTTTCCGCTACATGCGACTTTTATAATAGTTATATTATCAAGACCTTGAGCATAAGAAGGTACTTTTTCATCATCATCACTTACTGTAATTCTACCTAAAGCACCTAATAATAACATAAATTACTTTATTAGATATCATTTATATAAATAAGCATAAATTATTTCTGATAGCGATAATGCATACATGATCATTACAACCCCAAGTAACAACCTAAAAAAAGAAAAAATTAATCAGATAATTTTAAAGATTTAATAGAAACAAAAATAATATATTATTTACTTTTCCATCCTGCATTAAAGCAGCAGTATGAAGACTTCCAGCACTTAAATAAACGATTTTAAATTTATCCAGATTTTCTACATGCTTAGGAGAATTCACTTCATCTACATTCATTAAACCAAGTTGACCACAATTGTTGCTACCCATAACAAATATTTTCATAGATCCCGAATTATAGCTAGGCAGCTTGGGTATATCAATGGTCCTTCTTGTACGTTTTCTTTTCGATTGAACTATTGAAGATTGAATGTTCCTCCTTTTTGAAACAGGTGTAAAATTCATCACTTTTTACAAATAAATTGTTTTGAGTTATAATTATTTGATTATTTTTTATATGTATAGTTATTTATGTGATTCACGAAACTTTGGCAATGTTTAAACAATCTTCGCTATTTATATACAATTTTTGCTAAGAGTGCTAATTGTAAATTTCACTAATAATGTGCAATACAATACAATATATAAATAGTTAGTTAATTTATATTTAATAATTTAAAGTATATTACATACATTTTATTTCATTCAAATAATAATATAAAAACTGGTTTTTATACTATTACCGACATTTAGATTAATAGTAATATTATTAAGTCACGTGGTGATATCAATACGTGAAATCTGAATATTCTTGAAGAAATTGGTGCCGAATTTATTATGTAAAAAATAAATTCAGTTCTGAACTTTATTGTATAATTTGAATCAAATTTGTAAGCTCAATTAGTTGCTTAATTAGAATTGGTAAGATAATAGAACTGACGCGTTCTAATATGCATGCTAAGCCTCAAAATGCTGCGCGATAATGCACATTTGTGAGTAGTCAGGTCTTGATAAAA